AGTTATATTCCTCTGACATCTCGCCGACTTTTTTATTTGACATTCAATGCACGCGGGATGTTTGAGATAAAGCTAATAAATCCAAACACGGGAACGCCTTTTTGGCACGTTTTCTTTATTCCCAATGGAATATTAAAAAAGGACGAAATGTACTGCATATAAATACAAAAAACGGAGATATTGTATGATTGGCAATTGGACAAGTATCCAATAAAAACCAAAGGAAAAGGATGTTAACAACTATAGGTCACGGTACGACCTTTAACACAGTGAGCTAAACTTTTAGAGCAAAACTCATATCGTAAAGTAAGCATAGAAGTTACCGGGATGACAATGTGCGTATTCTTTGTTTGATAAAAGAACATTTCATGAACATTAGTTTTGGTTTTTTTTTCTTTTTAAATTATGAAAGAATTTAAAACTGATTTATCTAAATACTAACACCTTCATCACTTTAAACAATAAGATTAGTTATATAAAATGTAATACGGTAACAATTATTTTTATAAACTGTATACATTAGAACTGATATTATATATATGTGTGTGTGAATTTCAGCTATATTGTCTACTTTGTATTTGTCACAAACTTATTGTTTAGAGTTTATATGGAAATAAATATTTGAATTTGAAATTGTTAAAAAATATATTCATATTTATAAAATTATATACATGGTAATCTGTAGTGTATGAAAATCCTTCAATCTGAAAAAATACCTTCAAGAACTATAGGTTGTATTTCTGTAAATATTGGCATTGCAATTTCCCATAGGAACTCCTTTTACAGCTAAACCTGTACCACTTTTACTATGAAGTTTTGAAAAAAATCATATCCTAGAATGGAAAGTTCATATGCACTACTATTTTTTTCAAAGGTCAAAATATAGGGCTGTACGGCATATTTTCAACGTTTATATGCCCCAAACTTCTAAGAGTTTTAACTAACACTAAATTTCTTAACTACCTCTATCTTAACAGTAGGATTATCACAGATTTCAATATAAACAATATGCATATGTATATTTACTGGTAACATTCCCAAGTTATGTCTCTATGAGATGAAACATAGAGATCATAACTGGGATCCAGTTTGTAAACAAAATTAATTATCAATAAATATTCTATATCTCCCCAAAAGAGGTGTGGTTTGAGAAACAGCTGGATTTTCAAAGTGCAACCTTTAAACATCAAATAAACAAATATGCACATTATTTACCTGTCTCTTAAAACGTTCGTTCTAGATGATATCATCTTCAATAAGAATTTTCACACGACAAACTGGTGCTTTTTAACGACCTTGACTGGCAGGTGTATATAGCAAAGGGGGGCTTTGAGGGAGATGAAACATTGGAAAAACAAATTTGTTTCATTTCATATAGAAAAACAAACCGTGAAAGTAATGAATGACAGTAAAAGTTTTAAAAATTACAGGTGCGTAGAAAATAGATAAAGGAAGATGTGGTATGAGTGCCAATGAGACAACTCTCCATCCAAGTAACAATTTATAAAAGTAAACCATTATAGGTCAAGGTACGGCCTTCAACACGAAGCATTGGCTCACACCAAACAGCAAGCTATAAAGGGCCCCAAAAATTACTAGTGTAAGACCATTCAAACGGGAAAACCTACGGTCTAATCTATATAAAAACGAAAAACGAGAAACACGTATAAACTACATAAACAGACGACAACTACTGTACATCAGATTCCTGACTTAGGACAGGTGAAAACATTTGCAGCGGGATAAACGTTTTAATGGTACCAAACCATTTTCTAAAACAAAAGTATAACATCACAACATAGAAAGACACACTATAAAATATCAATTGGAAGACTTAACTCAATCAAAAAACGTAAATTAACACACAATGAACGAATAAATTTGATCTGTGATACCTGAATGCAAATACATAGTTAATAAAAATTATAAGGGATAAATTAGTAAGGTCAAAAGCAAATAAACAGGTTAAAACAAAGTTAAAGTATGATACCACTGTGAAATGTTAAACAATTTTTGGAAAATCATCACTTTTGAAAAAACCTGCGTCATATTATACACAGGTAAATGAAAATAATTTTGTTGTTAAGTATACTTCTTCTTCTGTGTGTATAAAATCTTCCGTTTAGAAATACCAAGAAATTTCTTTAATATCAATAAAACTAATCTAACACTTGGTGCATATGGGGTGAACATCAACAATAAAACTATACAATTAGTGCTAGATAAAACTTCCTGTACAGGTGCAAGAACAGTATTTATGGAGAAATGAAATAATTTTGATGTTCATAGTACGAAGAAGTGAAAATTTGTAGTAATTTCAAATAATCAAAGCTGGTATATAGACAAGTTCTATGTTAACATTAAATAACAAAAAAGCATTACAAATAGTATCAACAGGTCAAATTAACAAGAAAGTACGATTTGAGAGTACTCGCAGTTATTGACAGCTAGTTAAAAGCCAAAACAATTAATAATAAAAATTCAGGCATCAGAGACTGAAATCAACTAAAACACATCCCAGGGATTTGGTATTTTAACGCCATGAACAGTCAAAGAAGACATGACTTGTGCAATGCAAAAATAAATGTATCGACAGGTAGTAGGATAGTTAGGAGTGACTTCTTTATAGATAAAAATGAACGTGTGTGTGTCGCTATACATCCCATTTGAAAAGAAAATACAAATTCAGTTATGTTTTAATTTTGCTAATGACAAAATCGATATTAGTGCCAATGTAAACTATATTCAGACATCTAATTACAAAAAGCATATTTAAAGCAGGAAATATTTAAATTCAGTTGGTAGTCTAAGACTAACCAATGATTATCGAGAATACCCTGCCTTGGACGAATTTGGCAACACTTCAATGCTACTCAAGGCCTTTTAATTAGTTCGTGCGTCACCGATGAGTATTCTGTAGACAAAACGCCCGTCTGGCTCAGAAAATTATAAGCATGGTATCTTTGATGATTTTTTTATTGTTTTTACATTTTACCCAAAGATGCTGGAACTCATAACAGAATCTTGTGTGGCTTCTGATTGGATGATACAGGGTAGGAATTACTATTTATCGAATGCTTTCATTTAATTCGTATAAATCTCATAAAATTAGATTCATATTATACAAAAAGCAGAAAAAAATTTACAATTTATGTACGTCGGAGCCATCAAAGAATTGCATTTTCCATCAAGCGAAATCAATAGACGTTTTTTTCAACTGTTTTCTAAGTCAAGTTTTGCCTCATGACCATGTATATTTTTTTCGTCTGCTAAATGAACTCATCATAGATACCAGGATTGAAATTTTATATTTGCGCCAGACGTGCGTTTCGTCTACAAAAGACTCATCAGTGAATTCGAATCAAAAAAAGTTTAAAAGGCCAAATTAGGTACGAAGTTGAAGAGCATTGAGGACCAAAAATTCTTAAATAAAGCTAACATTTCGAGTAATAGGAAATGCTACCCGTTTTTTTTTTCTGGTTTGTGTATGCTTCAAGACAAAAAAATTTTGAACACCACTGGTGCCCTATGGAAAAAGCATTTCGAGTGATTGTGCTCTTGTAACCTTCAATGCCAACCCGTATTCAACTAAGTCTCCTATCCGATTCTTTCCAACTCGTACCTTTACCAAGTCCAACTCTTGCCCCCTTTGTAGCTCATAAAGGAGCATATGGTTTTCTAAATATTTGTATGTATAATTATCAAAAAGAATCATGCACGGAATTCGCCCTCTTTCACGAATAACACTTGTTTCGTATTAATTTTACAACAAGCAAAAACGTCAGTTTGGACAAATATAGGAAGTTTCACCCATAAACGTGTTAAAATAAGATTGTCAAGCTCTTAATCATGTTACAAGTGTTGTCCTTTTTAAATGTTTCACGTCTTTTCTGGGAAACAAATGCTTTATCAATTTCGTGTGGCCAAAACGCTGTTCTCGATTTACCTTCACCAAAAATGCTCAAATTCAAACAAATGAAAGCCAAGGATGTAAACATACAAAGAAACGTACAAAATTATATGTCTTGTATATTTGATGAGTTAGTTTTGATATTGCATTATTACCATGAGACTTAAATAGCAAAGCATGTACTTCAATCCATATTTTCACAGGTACAAGGCTTTTTGTATTCGCAACCAAATTCGTAATCCTGACTTGTGTAAAATGCCACTGTCACAGTCATTTTCTACACAAGGCCGCTATGCACCTCTATTATTGTTTTTTAGTTTCGAGTTTTTAGAAGATTTACATAGCAAACCTCGTACTTTGTTATAGCTGCACAAATAATGGATCCAAGTTTGTTCATTACTCGTCCCATCTTCAAATTTCAGTTATATACAGAAGAACACATTATAGACACCAGGATTAAAATCGCGTACGACAGACGCGCGTTTCGTCTACAAAAGGCTAATTAGTGACGCTCGAAGAAAAAAAGCAAAATTCAGCTAAGGTAATCTATTCCTAGATAAGATATATAATAAAGCTAAAAAAAGATTCCAAAAACCAATGAAATATTCATCTATCAATTCAATATTGTATGTCTTCAAACAATGGAAAGAACATGCATTTTTGGGGGGTCAAATACATGTTTTTAAACTCCAAAACAGTATAAAGAAAAGACGTCAAACATAGGAGAGAAAACAAGCTTACAGAGAAATTGTTGTGTTTTACACTCAATTGACAAGTCATGTAGTAGATGCAAGTTGAATTAATATCAAATTGCATACCTTATAATCAGTTATATTGCAGAAGTAGATTTTAAAGTGAAGTTATGAATGAAAGAATAGTGATCAGTAATTTCTGGTGATAATTGATAACAATTCTATTCAAATTTCAATGCATCGTCAATAAAGACCAACATCAATTTAAACTAAATGAATCTAAACGTGTATGTACGGATATTTATGATAGGGAATATTAAAAATCAGAGACAATAACGTCCTACAGTTAGTTTACCATTTTAATAATACCTGCATGATCGCAAAAGGATATTAAAGTGATAAAAGCTTGTTATACATTGTACATTATCTAACAATTAATTACATTTGTATCATTGAACGGTTATCAGTCTGAAGGATGAAACGATAAAGTGACAACAGGTAAGAAAAGTAAGTCAAAAATAGTCATATGTTTTAGATAAATTGTAATTTCAATTACATGTATTTGAAAATTACTTAAATTTTTTAAAGTAAGACAAAATTATTATAATTATCAAATTTAAATATGACAGAGAGTTATATATAATTATATAAAACCTATGTGTCGAAAATTATCATGAATTCTAGGTTAATCAAAATCACGAATTAAATAAAAAACTGATTGCTGCGTATAATCGGATTTGCACATTTGCAACCCATCGAGTGTCAGTAATGGTGCAGGAACATCCGGAACGTCTGATTTAAATGCAGTTTGCCTAATTCACAGTTATTGCATAATGTTTTTGAAATTTGGTCACGCTGGTATTTATATCAACGAAGAGAATCAAAAGTGGTTAAATCAGAGACAATTAATCTGCAGTTATTGCATAATGCTTTGTTGATTGTTCTATGTATTTTGTCACGATGTCATTTATATCAACTTAGGAAAAGTAATAGACCTTTTTCTACTTTCGACAGAGGAAATTTCTTTTATTTGAAATATTTAAGTAAAGTAATTGTGTCTTATTTTATCAATTTTAACAATTTGGTGGGGTGCTGTTTTTCATATTTATAATTTTTATAACCACTGAGTATATTAAAAAAAGTTTAATATAACTTGCATGTTTATGTGGTCGTCTGATATACTTTTTCATCATTTGTGTGACATAATACCAAAACAATACATTTGTCGTAATAACAAGCTGTTCCCCTTCCATGTTGCCAGTATTAAAGCAGTAGCTGGTAATTATAATTACTCTTCAACATGTTTAAGAGGAATTCCGTTAATATCACGTTTTTTGCAATGACGATGATGTATTTTCTGTTTTTACTTAATATCAAAAGTGTATCTATGGTTTCAAGCATTCGGTACATGTTTTACAAATTCGCACGCATTGTGTATTGATATTGATTAATTTCAACTTTGTGTACATTTAATATTTCCACAATACATAATCGACCATTATGATCCATAACAATCATTTAAAACAATTCATCAGTATAAATAAAAATAAATTAAAATCCCTCCAACATAGTAAAGGACAACAAATGTCCTCATATTAATCGATCATCTTCTTCAAAACATATGTAGGACTCGTAAAGTACGATGGGGACGCTTAAACCCGATGGTCACGCTAAAGTGCGATGGTCTACGCTAAAGTGCGATGGTTTGATACGCTAAAGTGCGATGGTCTGTGCTATTTAATGGAACACGCTAAATTCCGATGCCTCAATAAGCTAATGTGCGTTTTCCCGATAACAGTGGAAATCAACAAAATTGATATAGCGGATTACCGTAAAAGTGACGCTGTGTATGAAACATTTTGAAAATCATATTTTCCAGTAGTTCGGTAAAATGAATTAATAAATTAAAGTAATGTAAATTAATTTTTGCTTGTTGAACGTACAGTGGCAAATATCACATGCATATATACAGGACGATCATACGCATGACCATTTGACAGTAACCTAACAACCAGAGCTAATGAGACAACTCTCCATCCTAGACCAAATGCCATTATTGTAAGCAACTATAGGTTACCGCATGCCTTTAACGCGGAGCATTGGCTAACAGCGCATAGTATTCTATAAAGACCAAAGGGCAACAAAACGACCAGTGTAAAACCTGACTATATAAAAAACAATAAACGGAAAACAAATATGAAATACATCAACACACGACTTCCACTGGATTACAGGTTGCTGGCTTGAGACAGGTTCCTAAAGTATATACTAGCTACTGCAATGTAACCATTACACTCTTTTGACAACTATTGTACTTTAAATAAAAAAAATTAAGACAAATATCCACCCAAGAACAAATGTCATTGATAAATGCAACTAATAACTGTACGGCCTTTAACGTGGAGACTTGATCTACGCCGCATAGGAAGCTATATAGGGCCAAACAATGACCAGTGTAAAACAAATCAAAAGAGAAAGACAACGGCTTGATTAATAAACATAATAATAAACGAAAATCTTCCCTAATAGGAACACAGCAACAAACGAAACCATTACCTGAACCCCATTCTCGTTACATCATCGCACTTTAGCGTGCTATACTATCTCAATTTAGCGTGTTATACTATTGCACTTTAGCGTGTAATACCATCGCACTTTAGCATTTGACACCATCGCACTTTAGCGTATACCGTCGCATTTTAGCGTGACCATCGCACTTTAGAGTACCATCACACTTTAGAGTCCTACACATATACACTCAATTGGCAGATTAGCACTATATACAAGTAGAAGAACTAATACATAGCATGTTTTGTATTCAGATATAAGGCAGAAATAGCGTAAGAATAATGACTAGCAATTTCTGTTGAACATTAATAACTATTCTATCCAATTTTACACGCACCGCACTTAATACCAATTTTAATTTCAACTAGATGAACTGTAATGAAATCATACGGATCTGTGTGATGGGGAAAATTAAAATATACAGGGACAATGTAGTCCAATAGTAATTAAACCTTTGCTTTAAAGACAATTTAAACGAAATTTATATAAGAGTGATAAAATCTTTTAATATTGATTCAATATTAGAAAGTATATAACAATAACTAACATATATATTATACGACGGTTCATTCTGAAAGGTGTAACTTAAAATTGACATTAACAGGTAGGAAAAGTAAACCGAAGGAAATGATATTTTTATTAATTGAATCCTAATTTGATAATAGGTTATTAAAAGTTACAAAATTGTTTGATAGAGGCAGGAAAACTTCCTCTTAATTATCTTATTTAATATATGAAAGAGAGGTTATATATGTACGAAATACATATGTCGAACGATTTTATGAATTGTTAGTTGATTGAAATCATGAACTATATAAACCCTCATTGTATTTTATTTCGAGTACGAGTGGTGCAGGATCTTCCGGAACGCATGATTTAAAAGCCGATTTTGTAATCTTCAGCTGTTTTTAATGTTTTTTGTTTTTTGTCTTTTTGGACAAAGTGTTGTCTATAATAGTGAGCAAATTAATATTACTGAAGGTTACTTGAACTTTTTTGAAGTAGACCGATTCAAAAAGTTGAAGAAGTTTTAAGATTTCTTATTGTCCAGTCGGATTCGTCTAACGTTTTATCTTCGAATTAGGAAACCAAGTTAAAAAATGTATAGACTTTTTCTAGAACTATAGAAATAATTTCCGAATTTATAATAGCTTACTTCAATTTATGGTGCATATTAGAACTTCTTTAGATAGAACTAATAATGTAGGAAACTTTTCAAACATAAAATGTATTCAAATAAAAGTTTATGTATCTAGGTCCTGTCGTGCCTTAAACATTTTTCAGTTGCTCAGGTTTTTCTTAACTGAGTAAATTATGTGGTGATAATATTGCCATGTATGTCCATTCCTTTTGATGATCCTTCACTAATGTATCCTGTCCTTGTTTATACGAACTCGTGAAATCACAGAACTAATTCGAAAAGTGCCCTCTGAAACGTATGTTGTTTAAACTTATACCGGAACTTACATCTTACTGCCATGTTTCTTATAATGTGCATTTAAATAGGGGAAATGTTTATTGGGCGAGTTTGATATTTTCATCAAGATAGACGAAAATTTGCACTCCGTCATTATAAAGACAACGTCACGTCTGCCAATGTGCAGTCACGACAAACATGGAGGTTGACATAAACATTAAAAAATTGGAAGAAAAATTACAACAAATCTTGAGATTTGAAGTTCTGTAATAAATTGTTCATTCTACACTCTCATTCGAAAGTTCACGTACGAAGTTTGGACCATAACAGTAGATTACGAATTGTTCAGATGATGATGATTTAGAGATAAGTTCCCAAACTAGTTTTGATATGGATTTCGATTTTTTAATATGCTATTAAATTAAAACAAATGTTCTATTCCCTTTTCTTTTTATAGAAAATTATTATTGAATATAGGTCAATGATGCAGCAAGATAATCAAATTACTTTTAGCAAAATTGATAAATCAAAAACCATGCATTGTTCACTTTTGTCACAGGAAGTGAAAACTATGTCCAATTCGGTTTTGAAAGCTCTAATTGACATTTGTGTCGTTAATATATTTAAATTAAAACGTTTATATTGTTTCGACATTTTCCTGCAATCGACTGAAATTATTTTAATTATATAGAAATTAGACTTTAGTTCAGGAAATGTGAGTATGCATTATTTCATATTCAATATTTTCAGAAGTATTTAGAAGAACTGTTTTTAAATACAGTAGAAGCAATAATTTTACTATTAGCTGTCGATGTCACTGTAAATATTAGGTAACGAGTCGTACTGAAAATGTTTAAAAAAGAAAAAAATCATCAACAAAGAAAAACTGCAATATACTATTTATATGAATTATTAACAGTATCATAAATGTATATATATACTGCTCATGGTTTCTCATAACGACTTAAGTGTACATAATGAGCAGTAATAATGCTCGATTTTCTTGCAGTGATGTACAGCTATGTTCAATTTATATGAAATAACCCTTTTAACCCAAAATCTCATCGATGTGGTGATGATATCACAATATACCTTTATTAGAAAATCTTTATGTATTCGTCAATGTTCGTGTCGATATGTTTACTGAAATTTCCTTCTTCAAGCTACAACCGGATAACTTTGTAGTTACAACTATAAACAAGTGAGAGGTTTAGCTAGCTATAAAACCAAGTTTAATCCACCATTTTCTTCGGAAAATGTCCGTACCAAGTTAGGAATGTGGCAGTTGTTTTTCACTTGTTCCGTTGATTGATAGCGTTTGATTTTATCAATTTTTAAGACTTCCCCTTTTTGAACTTGCCTTGGAGTTCAGTATTTTTGCTATACTTTTTTAAAAGCAAGTTTTTCAAACTTGACATATTTAGGACAATACTATAGTTTCACCATTTCCATTTCTATATCAAAATTGTAATTCTAATATGACGTGCTTCTTTCGCTTTGTAAACAACACCATGATAAAATT